GTATAATATATAACCAAATAAATAAGAAACGTAGAACGTTTATTAGCAAAACGAGTAAGAAAGCTTGGAGGCACGGCATTCACCTTGATGTCAAATAAAATAAATAAATGACAAAGTTTAAATAAAGCAAAAATCAGCAAACAATGTGGAACCAATTAAATAAGAAACGAATGTTTAAAAAAAAAACTTTCAAAATCACCTTAGATAAATGGCAAAATCAACAGGCTTTACAAAATCCGAAATATTGCCAAACAGGCGCTTTTGCATCTCGTTTCGAAACTAAATCATCCGCGATCGTCTTGTCTGTCTCACCTCACTCTTCTTGTCAGTCAGCTCGACTGGAGAAATGAAATCTGATCTGTGATGCAACTGTCGTTCGGCACGCTGCATTGAGCAGCCGCATTCAGTTTTTAATTGTAGTGTCTGTTCTTTTACTGAACTAAATGATTTTTATTACTATAAAAAAATCTAAATGACGGTGGGGGTCGGTGCCGCGGTGGGCATGTAACGTAACCGGTGTTGCGGCTTAACACCGGTATCACCGTCAGCACCGTCTATCGCGGCAAGCCTATTTTTTAGTGCTTTTAACACCATCTGGCCTTTACTTTCGATGGGCAACTTACTGTCAATACACTCTTAGTGCTTAAAAGGTTCTTCACAGCGATGCCATAGAAGAACCATTTTTGGTTCCACAAAGAACCATTCAGTCAAAGGTTCTTTAAAGAACCATCTGTTTCTTACCTTTTTAGAATCTGAAGAATGAGTTCTTCAGATGTTAAAGGTTCTTTATGGAACCATTTAGACAAAAAAGTTCTTCTATGGCATCGTGAAGCACCTTTATTTTTAAGAGTGTACAAGTCGATAGCCACAAGGGTTTGTTCTAGCATCTATTTACAAGACTCAGTCTTCAATTATATCACATTACCTGCAGGTCTCTGCTTATTCTGTGAGTGAATTAGTGAACATACGAGGCTGCGTACAAGGGTTTAATATATTTCCAATATAAATATAGGTTCTAGGTCAGAAAACTCACGTTCAGCTATTTTTTATACCTTTTTTTTTCACCTGTTCTATTACAAAATATCATATTGATAGCAATGTATTTTATTTGTTATGTGTTTATGTGATTTTTTTTCATATGCACAAGTTCTGCTCATTTTTCCTCATTTTTTATGCTATCTTATTTTTTGAAGTCACTTCTCTGCTGTTTACTTCTTTTATGAAGCTCTGGTCTTTGTAAGCACCACTACGGAGAGCTGAATTTCTCCTCTGGGATCTACATACTGTACATTGTCAGGTGGCCGGTTTATTATATCTTATAAAACACAGCTGCAAGTGTTTGAATTTTACAGCAAAAACAAGCTGAAGTAGGTGTCACCTTCAGAATAACAGCTCAGTTATTTTCTGTCTAGGCCTCAATATTAACAACATAACCATTTATAAAAAGCAGTTTGTGCAAATGGATGAATCTTAGATCTTTGAGATTTAATTTAAAGGAACATTTCATGCAAAAATTAAAATTCTGTGATTAATTTATTCAGTCCATGTATAGACAAAAAATGCTTTTTTTGCTCTTAAATTGGTCATAATTAACTATTGCAAGCATCACAATAATCCACAAGTTTACTCAGATTATTGTGATGTTTTTATCAGCTGTTTGGACTCTCATTCTGACGGCACCCATTCACTGCAGAGCATCCATGCAATACTAAATTGGGTGGCCTGAGAGTACATTTTCAGCAAACTGTAATTTCTTAGTGAGTAACTATTCCGTTAAAAATGGCACTGAAGAGACCAAATATGCTTGAATGTTTTTTTCTGGATGAACTATTCCTTTAATATTTACATAAAAAGTGCAGTTTCACAAGCTTAATAAAATACAAACAACTTTAAAACACAGCTAACTGGCTTGCAGAATTAAAATGTCATTCAGACAAATGGTATTAACTAAAACCAATAGTTGGATTCACACACTGTGTGCATTTGGCTGAGAGCCACACAGTCAAACAGCACTGACTAATCCCTTTAGAGCAGATTAATCTAAGCAAAACCACACCGGGATGGAGATTAAAAGGTGAAATATACTTCGCTTATGAAGAGCAGGTCGCATGTGTGTTGATTCTTCAGCTTTATATGACACAATAAGGTTTGTAAAAGCCAGATGTGCGATAGAGCATTGCCAAAAGATAAGTGTAGGATAATGCATCATTAACAATGTCCTTTAAAGGTCATCTGAGCTTCCTGCCGAGAGATCGTTTCCAATGGCTCTCTGGCAGGTGTTGAGCCAGTGGGGAGACACGGGTCCTACTGACTCTGTTCACTAGAAAGAGAACAAACGTTTCACAAAGCACAATATCAGTTGAGTCACGGTTTATAAATAGGCCTGACAGCATCTTAGTTAATCCAAATCTCTTTCTCCTTCAGAGCCCTTCAGTATCAGCACACAAGAGCTTCAAACGTGGGCCGAGGGAATTATAAGTAGCTGTTCACTCTTCTCATGTCAGTCGGCTTTAGAAATTTTGAGGATATGAACCCCGGGAAAGATGATTAGCAATTATCGCCTTGGGGAGCGAATACATACCTCCCACAAACACAGCCTCTGTCCGCGTGTTGCGAGAAGCGCTATTTTAACACTTGAGACACACGGCCTATTTTATTGACAAAAGCAACTTTTAATATCATGTAATATTTTAATTAGCAGGTCATGTATCTAATTTCTTTCAGTATGGGTCATTTATCCCTAGGGGAAATATTTTCTGCAAATAATCTCAATCTGATACATACATACATTACATTTCCATATATTAAATATATTGTCATATGTGAAGTAAAAATATATGAAACCTATTATAAATTGGAGCAATTTCATATATTAACAAGTCTAGCCCAAACAAATACATATGTTTATGTATGTGTAATATATTTTTGGACATATATGTCATGTATCCATCCTTAAACCTGTTCAGCATGTTTATATTATATAATATAAAAGATAGACATGTACTTTAAAAAAATACAAAAATATATATAAACCAAAAGATGTTTTACATATATGTTGTTTTAATAGTTGCATTATATAGATAATATTAACATATGTACATTTACAAATTTTACCATGGGAAGTTTATAAATATGTTATAAACATATTTTCATCTACATAGAGAATTCACGTATGTGAAAATGATATATATAGCCTAATAAATAACATATATGGCAATATCACTCTTGATATTGGACAATCTATGTCATACATTACATTTCCATATACATGCTGCTATTTTCACGCCAGACAGTATGCAACGCCCTAGCAACCACCTGGAACATCCTAGCAACACATTAAAACACTCTAGAATCTGGCTGTGAGTTCTTGCACTTACAATTACCTCTTCATAAAATGTAAAACTCTAGTTTGGTGATGATATGAGAATGCTCAGTAGCAGTTCCTGCAATATTTAATTTCATGCATAATTCTACATCCTGAAGACAAATTCATAAATAAGAGATGCTTCAACATGATCTGAAATGCAAGGCAAAAGACAACAACATTAGCAATCGTCTCTTTAATGAAACTATGAGAGTATATGACAGAATCACACGCTGAGATCAGCCTGCGCTTGAACAGATTGAATTCATCCAAGCAGCACAGCAACATTAATCATGATGCACATCAGAACTGTCAGAAAACTTTTCTGTATTTGCAGTGATGATCAAAGACACGCAACTTTTCTTCCCCAAGCGCACGCTAAAGGACGAAAGCTTAAGATACAAACACGATGCTTTGACTTTTTGCATCTCCCAAATGCACACGTCAAGCTCTTAATTTACAGACAACAAAAGCTGGAGCTGCGTGTAAAGTTAACATAAAATCTCTGCAACCCATAATGTGATGGGGAAGGAGGATATGAGAGAATAAAAATGTAGGACGGGACTTGATTTTATCCATCTGGAATTGATTAGATCAAGAAAAGCAAGCGTTTCATATCACAATGCTAGATCTGAATGTGGATTGCAATGGAAGATCAATTTCACTCTCCAGAGCTTCTCCACTTATCCCAGTGGTGATGCTTCTTTTTCAAATCAATCATTATTTGATATTATTGCCATATTATTTCAGTTACGATTTTAGAAAGCATGTACAACAACAATGACTTAAGAGTATTTGGGTTCTGGTTAACATTAACCAAATGCCTACAGCCAAAAAAGGAGAGTTGTCTCAGAGACAGAGCAAGCTAATGCTTTTGAATTAAAGATTGCACTAATGAGTCATGCAAAATAAGACCAGGAACATGTGCTAAATAAGGTCAGTTTTGATTTCAGGCTGACTTTAAGGACAAGCATGCACATACACACACACACACACATCTGCAACTTTTTACTTTTTATCAACTGCACACAGCCTTAAAGGTGCTGAAGCAGGTACTGCTTGTACAATGATTTTACATTAAACACATCCACAACACATGCAATAAACATGCAAGACAGATGAAATACAGGAAGATTATATAAGTATCAATGCAATGCAATATTGATGATGTCCTTGATTATATTTGGACTATAATTCAATTTCTATGCTAAAAGCTCTACTTGATTAGAAATTCTGAACAAAAATAATAATAATAATAATAATAATATGAACACAAAAACAAACATTTGAACACATACAATCTATCCAAGAGAATATATCACATTGCATTGTAGAAAAGAAGGAAATCGCGACAGTCAGGTCTCTCATATATGCTTCATCAGTGGCTGCAGAAATTGTTTAATTGTACAACATAAATGCATAAAAGCATCAAAGTCAATAAGCATGACCATACTGACTGGGAGTGTGAATGAGAAAGGCATTCTCACTAATAAAAAGAGATGACAATTTATGTTCATATGTATATTAAAGCCTCTTTATTACATATGCCTTAGGTCTTAAATATGTAAATGATCTATATATACTGTATAGCTACTATATACCGGCTATCTGATGTCACAATGGAAGACTAAAATAAGACATGACAATGCATTTGGATTTTCTTCTTCTTCTTCTGCTTTATAATCGCATAAGCTTATGCATTATTTATTCCCCAAACTGTACCTATAGCAATCAGTGCTTTATAGCATAACCTATTTTAAGATTATATTTTAATATGTGCATAACCACCCTCTCTCTCCTACATTAATATAAGTGACACAATGACTTGTGTTCTTGGGTTCAAGGTTAATGTTTGCATGGTCACCTATTGGTGGGTTCATTGACCGAACGTTTGGCTACTTACATCGTGAAAGATGGGCAGTCCGTGAACCGCATCCTGCATCTGATGCTGCTGCTGCTGCTGCTGCTGTTTGGAGCGGAGATGCTCGCGCTTCGCCGACTGGAGACACATCGTGATCATTTCGGTGCACGCCAACATCTTTAAACGAGCTGCTTAAGAATTTAGGAAGAAGAATATGCACTTTAAGACACCGATATACAAGCAGATCTCGGAACTGGGGTGCGAACAGCAACACGGCGCTAGTCTTCTGGGCGAATGCTGCTGATGCTGAGGAATACTAGTGAACGCCAAAGAATCGTTCTTTCGACTGAACCGGTTCTTTTGAATGATTCGGACGAACTGATTCGAAAAGCGCTTGTTGATTTTTTTTCTTTCTGTTGACAAGATTTATGGAGTGATAAAAAGACATATCCAAAATCTCCTCCGTAAAGAACTTTAACTTTTAATCTGGCTTTATTCAAAGTGGCGATTTCTGTTCTGGAAAAATGTGCAAATGCCCCATAATGACAAAGTGAAAGAAGTTTGTTTGAAATCTTTGCAAATTTATTTTAAAAAATATGAAAAAAATGTAGCCTACATAATAACATAATTCACAGCGTTTGCTCAATACTTTGTTGAAGCACTTTTGGCACCAATTACAGCCTCAATTGTTTTTGGGTATGATGCAACAAGCTTTGATCATCAGCATTTGGCAATTATCTGCCATTCTTCTCCTCGCCTCTTCACCTCTCCAGCTGTCAGGTTGGATGGGGGCAGACGCACATTTTCAGGTTCCTCCAGAAATGTTAGATTGGGTTCAAGCTCAGGCTGTGGCTGGGACATTCACGGAGTTGTCTATAAGCCACTTTTTTTTTTTTTAATAAATGTGCAAATATTTAAAACAAACTTCTTTCATGTTGTCATTATGGGGTATGTTTGTAGAATCTTGAGGAAAATAATGCATTTAATCCATTTTGGAATAAGGCTGTAACAACAAAATGTGGAAAAAGTGAAGCGCTGTGAATACTTTCTGGATGCACTGTATATATATATATATATATATATATCATTTATTTACATATTTAAACGTCATTTCAGCTATCTGTTAATTTTCACTCTATTAACATATGATGTCTTGCCTTATGGTAATAATTTTGACTGGTGAACAAAACGAATCGATGCATCTTTTTTTATTGCAACGCTTCACTGAAACGAATCTCCGAGCGAACCGATTCTCGGAAATGATCCAGACTTCAAAGAGCCACCGACGAAGTTCTCGCTCTGTGGCTCCAGCTCCTCGGATGCTGATTGGTCCAGCAGTAGCTCAATGCATCACTTCTTTGACTCGCTTTTGCTAGGACAAATCCATTTATGTTATTTACAGCAGTTTTATTAAATGATATGACAACGAATACATAAATAAACATGAAGTAAAAATGAGTTATAATGAAACAGTACTTTAAATGTCCACAGGTCATCTAAGGGCCACAATTCATTGAGAGTCACCTTTATATTAAAACACATATTCAATGTATTTGCATGGTATACCAATGTTTTTCAGAACATGTGACAAATACCATGGTACTCACTGGTATACATGCAAAAACCCATGGCAGCCCATGGTGTAATGCACAAAAAACTTCATGTACTGTAGTAATAACAAATATACCATGTTTTTGTATTATAGTACTGGCTTACAAAGTACCGTGGTATTACGAGGAAATACCATCACTGTGCCATGATTACTAATGTTTTCCAAAAGTAAAGAATACCATGGTACGTACCTGCCCTGACACACAGTGCCATCTCGAGGAAAAACAGCCCTTAAATAATGTTAATAAATCCATTGCCTGCTCATTCTGAAGTCCTCACACGCATAAAACACACTGTACACACCTGCCCTACAGGTACAACAAACAAACATTACATTATCCTCCTGAGAGCCAGCTATGGGTTTTTGTCTCTGTAGTGGACATTATATTTGAGTGAGTTTCTCTGAGACTTCACATGGATGATGTCCTATTAAGAGCACATTCGGGGCTTTTCAGTGATACCCAATGTTTGGAAGTCTCACCACTCCCTCTCATTGTTCTTTAAACATGGCTGACATTAATTTAGTGATAAATTGTACATCCTTATGGAAATATGATCATATTTTGTAATGATTTAAATCTGATTAATTTTCAAATTGTTTGTCATGAATCAACATCTCAGGAAAATGTTATGGGGTTTCAAATCAAAATATGACTTCCAGGACTAAAAGCATGTTTATTACGCATTTTGGGAGACATAACAAATAAATAGGGAAATAAATTATATTTTATAATTATATATATATATATATACACTTCTTTTTTCAACATGCTGTCCCAACAGCACATTAATATGCAAATTAGATACAGTGTATAGATAACATTGTGTTTAATGGGCAAACCAGTTCATGGAAATTTTATACACATATTGCATAAAGCAAAATGGTATATCAAATCATTCTATTATATCTTTTATAACATAGTTGAGAATCATCCTTAAACAAATTTTTCTTTAAAAAAAAAAAATCCCATCGCTTTTGCTTTTTCATGTCTCTTCCATAGGTCTATTCATGTCATTTTATTTTTAAGTCCTGGTGTCCTCTAGAGAGGACATAGCATAAAATATGAATACAATATGAATATAAAATAATGTTCCTGTGTCTCAGTGGTAGAGCATTGCGTTAGCAGCGCAAAGGTCGTGGGTTCAATTCCCAGGGAACACACATACTGATAAAAAATGTATAGCCTGAATGCACTGTTAAGTCGCTTAAGTTGCATAAATTTATTTGTTAATTTAAAAATATTAATTTTCAAAAATGTTATATTTCCATATTTTTCTTATTCTTTAAACAATGTAATGACATGGAAAAAAAAAATACTAAATTCACAAAGCTTTTTTCTGGATCTCAGGAGGATATCCGAATGGACTCGCCTCGCGTCGCGTCACGTGACGGCGTCGCGCAGTGACGTCACTCGGACATGGCGCCAGCACTGGCGGCGGACCTTTGGTCTCCCGGTTGAGATGGAGCAAAGTTTATTCAAACGACGGGAAGTTGACCTCGGATCCCGTTAAAACCGAGATCTAGAAACATTTCCCGCGATCATAAGCGACACACGCGTATAGAGCACAACATGGAAGAAAAACAGCCGTGTTTTGATAAGGCGCTAATGCTAGCTCGTTTGAGCGGTGCGGCGGGTGGTGTTTTGACAGTTCGTTAATTAATGTGCGTATAAATTATAGTCTGAAACGATTGTAAACTATCAGTTTTAGTTTCCAAGACATATATGTATTTAGTTGACTCGTAAACGTCCTGCTGGGTTTTGTAGCTGCGACAGAAACGCTACGTGACGTCACTTCCGTAAGTACCGTTACAGTATCATAACACAGAAGTGTCTGACCCCATGATGTGAAAAATTATGTGCCACGAACTTACAGAGTACTCCAAGATGCTTGGAATAGCATGGGATTGCGATTTCTGTGGTATGTGTCTATTACCATCGAATATACTGTGGTAAAACCATAGACTGTATAAAAACAGTGCCTTATTGTCTTTTTACTAAATATTAAGCCAAGACACAACAGCTGAACAGGGTAAAAAATTACTACATTAAGACACTTCATTTGCAGGTTTTCTGAAACCTCATGTTTACAAATGCAAATGAGGCATTATCTAATTAAATGTGCACTCATTTGCATACATTTCCAGAACAGAAACCTGAACATTGGATGAAGCCAGGTTCACTTATTGACGCATTAGAGTTAAAAGTATTTGCAGAGGGGATTTTGGATAGTTTTTAATCACTCCGTAAATACGGTCAACAGCCATAAAAAGCACATAGATTTTAGGAAAAAGCAAATGATATAAACACGTCGAACTACAGATAGGAATACAACTGTAAAGATTGGTGCATGTAAGTGGGATATGTATTGGGAATGATCTGCAGATGCACCGAAATGCGTATTTTGGATGTTTTCTTTCTACTCTTCTGAAAGAAGATATGTTATGGAAACAGAATAGGCCAAAATCTCAAAATGTACCAGTGCATGAAAAAACAATGATTTTGCCTGTAGTGCTAAAAGCAAAACCACAGTCGTTCAACAGTTCCTGTGCTAATTTGTGAACTATTCAAATCATTACTGGTCAATTTATAAAGTGCTTAAAAATCATCATCATCTTTCATGCGGTTAACTAACTTCTGACAGTGTGCTGATGTGAGCTTTTACCAAGATGCACTGGCAGGCAGAATTAAGACAGAAAATACTAATGTTATAATGAGTAATAGTCCATTGGTTTATTGATAAAGTCTTCAGTTCCGCTGCTGGTGTCGCTGGGGAACTGATGGATGAATGTTAATCAGGCATCTTGACAGAGTTTAGACCATTTATAACAGAATATTTCTCACAAACATTGACTCATCTTCAAGTCATTCTGAATGAGAATTGAATATAGTCCACAAGTTGCACACAGTATTGATGTCTTTTGTAATACATCTTTTTGACATATCCAGTAACCTTTAATTTTCATTGTATGGGAAAGAACAGAACAAACATTTTTCTTTTGTGTTGCACTGAAGAAAGAAAGTCATACAGGTATAGTGATGTGCGGATGAGGAAATAATGACAAGGTTTTTTTGTTTTGGGTGAAACTCTAACGATGACTCTTCTTAAAACATTTGATCCAGTGTAAGATTATTAGGATTCAAAGTTATTGGGTTAGAAACCTATACCTTTAAAGTGGTTTTAAGTCAACATGAGACATAAAGGATGGACAGGCTAATGTGGGAGAATATCAGGCCAGTTATCAGAGCTGTCATGCTATTGTGTTATCACTGCATTGTATTTGTATTTTTGTTACAGTAAATGGTTAATCATGTTTTTATGGCTGAAAAAAATACACATTTAGTTATGAAATATATGGAACTTGATTGTTGTGAATTCTGCCGATGTAAATAAATATGTCACTTAGGTTTAAGATTTAATGAAATTGTGAGAATAATTTATTTTAGCATCACTGAGATTGTAGTTTTTATTAAAGGGGTCATATGATGCTTTTTTAAAGATCATTATTTGGTGTATTTGGTGTAACAGCATATGTTGACATGCTTTAATGTTCAAAAAACACATTATTTTTCAAATACTGTACAAGGAAAACTTTGAAATCGCATCATATGACCCCTTTAATATTTTGAATCCGTTATTATTTTAATTTATTTCCCCTTTTCATTTTCATTTTAGTTAAAATGTTTATAATTTTGTTATGTGTTTTTGTAATTTTTAAGTTATTGTTATTATATTTTTTTTTTCAGTTTTAGTTAAACTAAGTTAAAATCAAAAAATATCAGCAGAGCAAGTACAAATCTGAACAAAAAGGTTCTTTTTGTTTCCTGATGAAATTACTTGCTTGAAGAAGTAAAATTATTTACAACCAGCATTTCATGTTGACATTTACAGCTTGTCCCAAGTCATAATTGATTTGAAGCTCAGTTTGTTCTCTTTGGTTCATCAGTAGAATGTCATTGGGCTTTTTGTAAATGTCTGTGTTGTTTATCAGCACTTCCTCTCAGTGCACAGACTGAGAGACGTGGAAGTCTCTTAGAATTATCTAAGATATTATAACATCATCTGTAATCTGCCAAGGATTACTCGAGACTTCTGATGTGAGATTAGCTGTTACCTCAGACAGAGCACACCAGCACTAAACGACGACATACAGCACTGGTCAGGGATCAGATGTGTCTTTACAGTGCGTTTGATGACAGATCAGCCAGTAAAAGCCAAGACAGTGGGTTTTGTTGGCTTAGACCAGTGTTTCCCAACCGGGGTGCCGTCTGTCGAGAGCAGGGGTGCCGTGTAAAAAAAATCCTTTTTTAATATTTTTAAATTGCTAAAATGTTCAAAAAAGCATCTATTATATAATATCCATTTCTGATATCGCCAATAATTAGAGATGCACCGAAATTTCGGCTGCCGAAAATTAGTTCACCGCTCAGGTTTCACTTTCACGTGGTGTGACGCTCTGCGTATTATCCGCTCTATGCGTGTGCACTCCGCTCCGCTCAGTCGCTCCACTCGTATACCGTTCATGCTCATCGGAACAGCAAAGTCCACTCAAAAATTGAGCTGACAGGAAACATCGATGTAGTACAGTATTGTTTCTGTCTGCAATAGCCCTACTGTGTTGTAACATGGTGTGGTATATGGGCAACTCTGGTAACGCTGCCCGCTCATTCATTGATCTGCTAACCGCTATGTTATGCTCACGTGTTCTGATAATAATAGCTTTCTAGGACTAAACATTATTTGGATAATTGGT